CTCTCTCTCTCCTCCTCGGCTCCCTTCTTCTTCTTCTTCTTCTTCTTCTTCTTCTTCTTCTTCTTCTTCTTCTCTTCAGACTTCTTCTTCTTCTTCTTCTTCTTCTTCTTCAGATTGGAGACTTATACTAGTTGGACAGAGATCAGAGTTGGACTTCGGTGGTAAGAGGCTGTGGTACTTACCGGATTCGAGACTTGGAGATTGTTGGGGATGATACTCGGCTGCATCACAGACATCGGTTACATTAGGACTCTGTATCTCCGACATTGGTGACTTATTGTCCTCGACGTTTGATCTTGTTCGATGACATTTTGGATTACCATATCGGTGACCTACTGGTTTCTATCTCGGTGACATTTGGTGCGACCTACATCTCCCACCTCCTTCGTCTCTCCTCCCACCTTCATCTGTGTATGTGTGTACGGGGCTGAGCATCGTCCATGAATGGCTCAGACCACACCATCTCACGATTGTATGTGTGTGGAGTGATATCTATGTGAGTCAGTCTATGTGAGTCAGTCCGTTTATCAGACTTCCGCTGCATATATTCTCATCCTACATTGGTTGATCTTTGGTTCTGCCCATACTCGTTGAAGTATGTAACAGTTTTGGTATCAGAGCAGACCAGTTTACGGATCTGCTCACCAGGTAAGACTGATTTAGGAATTAGATTGCTTCTTCAATCTTCCAAATCAGCGCTGTATTACTATAAAGTTCAAAGTTGCAATTTTTTTTTCTTTTTTCGGTATTCTATTTATTTCGGCATTTCCGTTTCAATTCGGTATTCGGACTTATCTTTCGGATTTCTGTTTTATTCCGGTATGCTGTTTATTTAGGTTCCGATTAATTGATACTAATCCGATAATTTGTTAGGTTCGGATTTCTGATTTGAAAACGTTATTAGGGTTGAATCAGTATCCTGTTGAAATTCGGCATTCTGATTTCCATTCAGCAATCCGTTTTTAACTTCGGCATTCTGCTGTAATCCTGTTGAAATTCGGCATTCTGATTTTCATTCAGCAGTCCGTTTTTAACTTCGGCATTCTGATTTCCATTCAGCAGTTCGTTTTTCTTTTAGTATTTTCGTTTTTCCTTCAGTATTGGAAATTAGGGTTACGAAATTTTGGTAGTTCGATCAACTTGGGAATTTCGAACGATTTCAAACCGTAAGACCGAAAATTTCGTGGAAACGCGGAAAATTAGGGTTTGGGCCAAAATTTTCGCGAATTTTTTTTTTTCTTTTCCCTTGTTGGAGAAATTCCGAAAACGGATTTAGGCCTTTAAAAATCGGATTTTGACGGTGGAAATTCCCAAAAATTCACGTTTTTGAAAATTCGAGTGTTTTTTTCTCCGGATTTTTTCCGAATTTTTTTTGGCAAAGTAATCCGAATCTGACCCTCAAAATTGCGACTTTCGGGTAGTTCACTAATTAACGGTGAACTCCCAGACCATAATTGATCTCAAAGAGACCTAATCTTAATACAATTCAAATTCGTTTATTATCATTATTACAAATATTCTTTATTGATTATCATCAAGAAATCTTTAGTGCGAACATTGTTTATTGACTATCATTAAGAGATTTCATTGCGTTATTAATCATTAATTAATTTTATTGATTAAATAATTCGTTATTATTTCTTCTTATTACGAATTTTTGGAATTGTTTACGGGAAATTATTTTTTTTTCTGTTTTGATTAGGTGTCTACAGTCCATCAGTGGGACAGGGGACTGTATGCGTATTGTTTGATTGTTCTACCCCTGTTCCCACTCTTCCTACCTCCCCGTACTTTGTGACCATCGGGACCTCTCAAGTACCGCATCAGTTCACACTGATGTCGATGGAACAGGACACCGGGGCACTGCCACGAGGCAGTGCCAGGCTTGCAGTTCGTGCCCGACCTGTGGTACCTCCAAGACCCAAGCAGCGACTCAGCAAGCGGAAGACTCCAGCAGCATCAAGAACAGAAATGACAGTACTGGTTAACACCGGGGTTCTTCCCACATGCACGATCCAAGGGGCCGGTGAGCCGTTGGCAGCTTACCTTCAGCGGGTACAGGCCTTCACAGATGCCGTAGCTACCGCAAAGGCACAGGAGGAGGCAGCGGAGGCGGAACATCAGCGACTGGCCAATGAGGCGGCAGCCCAAGCTCAGCACACTGCTGAGGCTGACGCAGCAGCACGAGACCAACGGAATGCCAACAACACGGAGTCCCTGATTCAAAGTGAGAATCAGTGGACAATGTTTCTCCAAGGCATGATCTTTGTGCCTTCGGACGCGCAGGCAGATCCGACACCGGCGGAGGCAGAGAAGACTCATCTTGCTAACTTGATGCTGGGCATGATGAGAGGAATTATGTGGAATAACACACTGCTGCAGGCACATCTGCGCACGGAACAACAACAAAGACATAAGTACCAGCAAGACATTGCTGTTTTAACAACTGCCATTCGCGTCGAAGCTTCACAGCAGCAGCAACAGCATCAGCTGTTGAACTCCGCTCTCGCACGCATCAACAACATTGAGGCTAATGCCTCAGTAGCGCCTGGCTGCACGACGGACGCGACGAAGCAGCTCAACGAGCGCATCGATCACGTCGTCACTATCATCGGCGATATAGGCGATTTCATTAGCCCGGCCACAATCAGCAGCACGATGGCCGCCATCAAGACGGACATCACCAAGCTGCAGACGAGACCGGACGTCGCTACGAAGCCTTACAAGATGTCGCACTTCGACATCAGCAAGTTCGACGACTACAACAAGTCGGACGCCTTGACATGGTGGCAACGTTTCCTCACGGAAGCATCATGCCGCACTGTCCCGGCGGACGACATGATGAAGGCACTCTACTTACAACTGATTGGAGGAGTGCAGGCATGGATGAACCATCTGGCGGCTACCAAGAAATGCACCATCGCCGAACTCCACACGCACATTCCGCGGAAGGAGTTCGAGAAGCTATGGCTCACCCGGTTCATGGTTCGCAACGTCGTGAAGGCAGCCATGAACGAGGTGTGCACCTGCTCTCAAGGTAGTCTGCCAACTCGAGACTGGACAACTAAGTGGCAGAAGATAGTGACCACGCCAGGCTTCGATTTGAGTTTTACCAATCAACGATCCGAGTTCTTCTTGCGATCATGCGCAGGACTGCGGTCGACACTCGGCAACGAGTACGATTATGATTCATTCCAGGCCATTCTGGATCGTGCGAACTTAGTCATCCAAACAGATGACAACGCCGCAAACGAACGGTAGTCCCAGCCGCATTACGTGGCTAAGCAGGGCTATCAACGACCGACACATAACAATGCCGTGATATCTGAAGAAACAGTCGATCTCCACGCTGCAGCAGCATCCTCGAGTGATGGAGGAATTGTAGCAGCGCTCCTGCTGAAGCGTCCCAAGAGAGTTCGGAAGAACAAGGCGACACAAGAGACGGCATCGACGGGAACCAGGCAGCAGCCATGGACGGCTTACAAGATAACCAAGGATGTCTATGACCTTCGTCAAAAGTACGGATACTGCCTTTGATGCAACGGCGTCATGCATTTGACCGCACAATGCCCCGAAACGGGCAAGGTATGCGTATCCCGTCCAACAAACTCGGGAAACTAAGTTACGCAAGGAGAGGGGCGACATCTCTCCTCACTCCGCCGGAACCGGTTGCCTTGCTAGCAATCGATGTCACTACCAGGGAGCATGCGTTAGTCGCTGATTCTCCTGCTACGTACGAGGATTATGCCACCCAGCTGGTACCACCACTAGACCAGCCAAGCCACGTGCACTTAGATTGTGTATGCGCAGCCTGTACACCGTCGGCAAGTGACCCGGTCAGTTCGCCACTGATTTTCGAGAATTCGACGGCGTGGTGAAGACTTGAGGAGCTTGACCCGCTCACGAGAGAGGACTTCACTTGGATGCCTCTACCCTCGACCGGAACCTTGCCAAGGCCGCATTGCAACGCCTTAATGGCAAATCTACGCTCCTATTTGCACACTACAGTACCAGCTCCGTTGACGGACGACGGGGTAGCGGTTGTCGATCTCCGCTCCTATCTTGCGAAGATTGACCGCGAGTACGCCACCCAAAGGTACGCCGAAACCGACGTACCTTTATGGCATTCAAATCGATCTCCGCTCCTATCTTTGCTCTATCTTTGCGAAGCGATCTCCGCTCCTATCTTGCGAAGATTGAATGCGATCTCCGCTCCTATGTTTGCTCTATATCCGCATTCAAATCGGAAATGCAACCTGTAGTGCCTTGATTGATTGCGGAGCGTCTCGCAACTTTATGAGCCAAGCCTTTATGGCCCGCGCAGGTCTGGGCCCGCGCGTTTGAAGGAAGACGCAACCCACGCAAGTTACACTCGCAGACAGCCGCACGCAAAAGTCGATTGACCGATGCGTCGACGGCGTTCCGGTATACTTTGCGCCACTTGCATGCGAGCTGGTGTCTTTTGACATTCTCGACACCAAGTTCGACATGATTCTAGGTATGTCTTGGTTGCGTAGCGCCGATCATTTGGTGAACTTCCATGACCGAACCGTTCTCATCCGTGATCGGAACAGTGTTAGTCCCATGTACGGTCGTGACCCCTCACACTTCGATTGCCTTTCACGTGGTTTCCGTTGCGAGAATTTGCGACGCCTTAGCTAGGAATGACGTCGAGGAGATGGGCCTTGTATTCTTGCATGCCCTCCCCTCGACGGACGGACCAGCCGCGTCACCGCCGGACCCATGCATCACTCACCTCTTGGACGAGTATAGAGACGTCTTCGAGGCTCCCACCGGAACGGTTCCGGATCGGCCCATACGTCACGGGATCACTCTCGAGGTTGGCGTCGTCCCTCCGCGGGGATGTATCTACCGCATGAGCGAAGAGGAACTCGARGTGCTTCGCGCACAACTCGATGACCTTCTCGACAAGGGCTGGATTCGCCCTAGTTGCTCGTCATACGGTGCACCTCTTCTCTTTGTCCGGAAGAAGAACAAAGATCTACGGTTATGCATCGACTATCGCAAACTTAACGCACAAACCGGAAAGAACGCCGGCCCTCTCCCTCGGATTGATGATCTCCTTGAGCGGTTAGCCGGCGCGACGTACTTCTCGAAGTTGGACTTGAAGTCAGGTTACCACCAGATTGAAATCCAGCCTCAAGATCGGTACAAGACCGCGTTCAGGACGCGGTACGGGCATTTTGAGTGGGTTGTCATGCCCTTTGGCCTCACCACCCCCGCAACTTTTCAAGTAGCTATGACGACTGTTTCATGACTTGCTCGATCGCAGCGTCCTCATCTACCTTGATGACATCTTGGTCTATAGCAGGAGGTTGGACGAGCACATCACACACCTTCGCGCTGTTGGGGCAAATACACTGACGAGGGTATTTGCCGGGGTTTTTCAATGTCGGACGTCGTCCGAATTCTGCGTTGAATTAAAGGACTTGATGAGATGACGTTGCCAAAAAGTTATTGAGACCTGACCTATGACTGACTGACTAAAAGTTTTCGAACTTTAGTCCGAACGCGTGTGGCATCCAGGAGTAACGGATGTGTATGGTAATGCTTCGCTTTTGTCGGAGCCGCAGGAGTATGCGGATATAGGGATGGAAAAACTAAACCTATGTTACCTAAAATAGGGTCGCGCGGTTGTTAAGCCGCGCGATTCAGAGCCTCAATGGGCTAAAAAGGGGTCGCCACGACAAGATTGGACCGCGGCGTGAAGGAATGGTTTTAGGGTCCACAGGGTTTTCGCGCCCTGGACCGGGGAAGAAGGCGTCGGGGCCGGTTGGGTAGGGCAACCGTTATGGCTGTCGGCTGCCGACCCCGCCTGCCGGCCATAGTAGCGAGCAGGCTTGGCGAGTATAACCCGCTAGGCGTCGGAGGGGGGCCAGCTGGGCTCCAGAAGCCCTTCATATAGAACCGCTGCTCCTTTTATGATGTGAGGAGGAGCTAGCCCAGTAGGTACTGCCGCCAGACTATTGCCCCACAGACATGGGGATCGAACCTGACTGACGCACTACCGGGATAGTTCCTTTTGGATCAGCCCGCGACATCAGGATGGGCGCGGCCGATTTCGGCCGTGCGATCTTTGAGATCGCGCGACTGAAATCAGCCGCGCCGAGATAGCATGGCCCTGTGCAAGGATGACACGCATAAATCAAGAAATGGCAAGTTTTAAATTTTAATTTTTTGGAAAACAAAAAGGAAAAAAAAAGAAAAAAAAAGGGAAATGTACCTGTTCCGTAGCAGGACGCGTAAGCGCCCAGATACAGGCTCTGCGAAGGTCGTGGAATCACGAGGTAAGTTGGGTTCTCTTTCCTTTTTTTCTTTTTTCTCTTTTCTCTTTTTTTTCGTTGTAGTGCCACTAAGGCCTAGTGACGTGACTGTTGGCATAAGCCAACGTGGAAGAAAAGAAAAAGGCGAAAAAAAAAAAAAAAAAAGGGAAAAAAAAGGGGGAAACCAAAACCGACGCGCCATTTGGCGCGTTTTGAAGTGACTGGGAGCTTAAAACCCCCAGTGAGGTGACAGGCGCCCGTCGGAAACGGGCTGCCACGTTTAGGTAGTCTTTTTTCCTTTTTTTTTTTCTCTTCTCGTTTTTTCTTTATGTTAGATTTTACTTAGATTTGTTTTAGATTTTTTTTTTTTTTTTTTTGGTTTAAATTTTTGATTTTCCTTTTTTTTAAGTGCCCGTTCGTTTTGAACGAACGGGCTGAGCCGACTGTTTCGTCGGACTTCCACCGACTCATCAGGAGGCCAAGCCCCGACGGTCGATTTCCCAACCGAATCTGCCTCATGATTGCGGCTGTGTTCGGGTTGTCGTGGCAATTGTGTATGTGTGTGTGTGTGTGTGAGAGAGAGAGAGAGAGAGAGAGAGAGAGAGAGAGAGAGAGAGAGAGAGAGAGAGAGAGAGAGAGAGAGAGANGAGAGAGAGAGAGAGAGAGAGAGAGAGAGAGAGAGAGAGAGAGAGAGAGAGAGAAAGAAAAGGTGGTGGTCACCAGGTGGATAGTGCCCGTTCGTTTTGAAATGGGCAGCCCCCTTAACCGCGCGCCTGTATCAGGCACCTGTTTTGTGCCAGATACAGGCACGGGGCATAAGGGAAAAGAAGCCCTGTTGGGCTTGGCAGAAGACCTGCTCAGAGAAACGAAAGGGATGCTCGTTCATTTCCGAACAACGAGCTATCCCTGGATTAGACAGAGGGGGAGAAATAAGTGGCGGCCACGTACGTGGCCGCGGGGTTAGGTTGGATACAGAGGTAAGAAGAAGAAGAAGAGGGGAAGGATGGGAGAGGGGGAATGTCGCGAACCTGAACGCGACGCAAACCCAGATGCAAGGTTAGAAGGATCTGGGCTTTGATGAGACTGTAGACTGTTGAGTTCAACAGTCTGCTGAAAATGGCTTAGTACAGCCATTTGGGCACTGCGTCTGGCCGCGGGTGAAGGCCAGATGCAATGCTAGGGCTCAGAACTTGGTTCCCCTAGGGGAACATCAAGATTCCCAGCCCTCGATGGAAGTTCAGATTGAGGGCTAGGCTCAACCCCGTTTTTTTGGCTGAGCCTCAAGTGGCTGACCACCACTCCAACCCAGCTATAAAAGCAGGGCTGGCTAGCAGCATCCTCACTCAGTTGAGGTGCTGCCCACATTCTGACTGAATGTGGAGTAGTGAAGGTGCTGAGAGGTGGAGTGGAGTGGAGGTCTGCAGTGAACGCGGGAGTGGAGGCTGCCATAGCCACCACTTCATTTGGTGAAGTGTAGGGAAGGTGTTGCCTGTATAGCACGGCGGAGGCAGCTATTTTTGTTGCGGTGCAGGGGAGGCTCTGCCCGTTTTGCACGGCGGCGACAGGTCTTCGGCAAGCGGTGCAGGGGAGGCTCTGCCCGTTTTACACGGCGGCGGCGGTGTATTTTTGCCAGTGCTGCGGAAGCGCTGCCGAAATTTTGCGGCGGCTGCACATAATTTTTACGGCAGTGGCATTGGATTTCAACGACAGTGGTGCGGCTGTGCTACCATTTTTTTTGGCACGGTGGCAGCAACAGTTGTTGGTGGATCATGCTGCCGAGACGGGCGGTGGTGTCAACGTTATTTTCTCATACTGCCAGCACGTCGGCAACATTATTATGAGGGAAGATTGATGCGGGTTTGGCGCCAGTGGGGACAGTTTTGTGTGTGATCTGACGCTGGTGTGGCGAAGCAGCCATGGTACCGTTGACGGCACAGCAGGCAGTGGTCCGCATATTTTTTTTATGGTGCGCGGCGGTTATGGTGGATTTCAGTGTGGCCTAGAGGTTGGGCCAGCGCTGGTGCGTGGTTGAAACTGTGCGGTAGTGGTGCGTGGGCCGGTGACATGAGGAGGACGCGGAGTGAGTGCTCGCGACAGTAACTATTGAAGTTGCAACGCTTGCGGTTTGCGCCAGGAAGATATTCTTATTTCTGGGAGGCTCGCGACACATGTAGTTTCGACCAGGGCCACCTTTATTTTGTTTCGGCGGCACGCAGTGCAAACGGGATTTGATTTTGACACCATCTAGTGCTGTGGCGGTAACGTGGGACCGTCTGGGACCATTTTGGGACCAGGAGGGACCGATTTTGAAGATCGGAACCGACATATTGAGGTGGCTATTGTGAGCGTACGTGGTACTTGGAGACGGCGTGAACTGGCAATTGGTTGTGAGTATCTTTGGTGAGGGTAGTACAGTTGGGACCGTTGGGACCACATGGGACTCATTGTTGAGAACACCCTCCTGGAGGGTTATCTCACTTGAGTCTTTCAGTGGAGGCGACTTTCGCTCATACGAGCACTTGGAGAGTGAGGTGGCCGTCGTTCAGTGGAACGGCCACGAGTTGTGCAGTTGTGAGCTGCATATTTCCAGCCTCAACGGCGATCGTCTTCTCAACTTTGACTGGAATAGTTCTTGGCTTTCTTGAGTGGGTCGGATCAAACTTCACTCAAGGTCAGTTGAATGACTCAGATTGCCCTTCACAGCTGTGTGAACCCGCACTTTGCTTGACCTTGTTGTTTTGAATGTATGCGCGTCATGCATGTGAATGGAAAAGTCTGACTTGAATATCGGATGGTACTGTTCTCTTTTGAACCTGTTTTCTTTGCATGTCATGCAGGTAGGTAGAAGGACGCTTGCTATGGATATTGACATTGCCAATTTGGGATGGAGAAAATGATGGTCATGTTTTTATCTTTCACTTGCCTGCATGACAAAAGTACTTGAATTCTGAAATGAGTAGTTTCAACGGGTGCCATGAAAGAAAACGTGTGAATAAAAAGAAAAGGCAGTCAATTGGACTTGGCATTTTCCTAGGATTTACACATTTTATCCGGAATGACCTTGTACATATATACCCGTCAAAGTGAGTCTCATTCTCTATATGTCTAAGTTACCATGAACCTAGAAGGGATGAGAATAATTGAAAACTACTTGCGGTGCACACATTCTCTTTTCTCTAGGTAGCATCCAAGGCGGGGGTTCGTATGCTTTCGGAGCCGGCCCTGATATCGACTTGGAGTGGACCCGACTCGTCGGGGGTGGTACTTTGCCGACTCGGTGGTGACAGCCTTCGGGCTCAGGCGAGGGGAAGGAGTATCCACAAACCAGTTCCTAGAGGAAGAGGCATGCTACACGTCAAGCAATGTCCATGGTCAAAAATCATCCGCGAAGCAACCTGTCATCCAGGAAGATTGAGAACGTACGGAGACAGGCGTATGCATGTCTAATCATAAGTCGGCGTTGGTTGGAATTAATAACTTTCGCAGCGCGTCTCATCAGGTCAAAACCAAGGTAGTCCGACTATCTTGTCGACTGCATCAATGTTATTATCGATAGTCGACTTTTCGTTGGCAATTGTATGGTTGTTTTTATGAAATTCGACCCGGGGTGGTCAGATTGTTTTTGATGTCATGTTCTTGGATGTACCATATGATGATTCTGATTTTTTCAGTCATCTTTTTAGATTGGGCACGTTCCTGTCGACCACGGTCGACTTTTTTTGGCGAAATTATGTGTGGTTGTTATAACTTTCCTTTTGATTGTGTGTTTAAGGGACTAGGGGACGGACAATGTTCGGGTCCACAAGGCGTTAACCAAGCATACCTATACTACGGCGAACGAGCAAACGCCCTCGGCTGACCTACCTCTGCAATTGCATTTAAAAGCTTTCGCACGTGGGTCGGTAGCTCGGTAGGGGTACGCCCCTAAGGGTGGTGACGACCCGTTAGGGAAGATAGCTTATGCCTCGCGAGAACCTATCCTGTCGTAGGGGACCGCGGGATGTATTGCTGGCGCACCCGGCCAGAGTGGCGAAGGAGCGATGCAACCACGTCCGTCTCGGCGGTTCGCGGGATACTTATGCGTCGTTCCCTAGTTGTCTCCTGATGGTTTTGTTTTGTTTATCTCCTGCGTGACATGGTCGGGAGGGCCGTCGTTCAGGCGAGGGCCGATGCGTTCGACAGCGCTGTTTTGAATCGTTTGCGACTGGCCAAGTACAAAGCGAACCACGACAAGTGCGAGTTCGCCAAGCAAGAGCTTGAGTATTTGGGCCACTATGTTATGCTGAAAGGCATTCGTCCCTTAGCAGACAAGATCCAAGCCATCGTGGATTGGCTGGAACCCCGTTGTACAACGGATGTACGCTCTTTCATGGGTTTGGCTGGATGCTATTAGCGATTCGTCGAGTCATACTCGAAAGTGGCCGCTCCTTTGTCGAGACTTCAGTCCCCGAAGGTGCGACGCAACCCGTGGCGCGTTCACTACGTTGAAGGCAGCAATGCAAGCCGCCCCTGCCCTCCGTATATACGACCTCACCCTACCCACCCAAGTGACTACGGACGCTACGGGATACGGTATTGGTGCGGTGTTGGAACAATGTCACGAGGACGGTTGGCATCCGGTCGAGTATTATCCCAAAAGGTGCCTCTCGTCAACACTCTCGACGACGCTAGAAAGAAAGAGCTACTCGCGTTCGTCACCGTTCTTAAACGGTGGCGCCACTTTCTTTTCGGCCGTCGGCGTTTTAAATGGAATACGGACAACAATCCGTTGACCTTTTACAAAATGCAGAACACGGTCACTAGCACGATCGGTCGATGGATGTATTACATCGACCAGTTCGACTTTGACCCATGCCACATTCCAGGTCCCGCCAATCGAGCTGCGGACGCCCTCTCACGACGGCCCGACTTTTGTGCCATTGTGACCACGACATTCGACCTCGATGACGATTTGCAGCCGCATTTCGTCAAAGGCTACAAGTCCGACCCGACTTACTCTACGCTTTACGCAGAGCTGTCATCGGATCACCCGCCGGCTAGCCACTATCGGATTTCCGACGGGTTCCTTCTCCTTCACACGAGAGGAAAGAACTTGTTAGTTGTGCCCCAAGATCGCATCTTACGGACTCGTCTTCTCGGCGAATTCCACGACGCACGACTTTCGGCACACCTTGGCGTGAACCGCACATTAGCACGCCTCCGCCAGCGTTTTCACTGGCCCGACGTCCTTCATGACGTCACGAGGTACATTGAGTCATGTGCAATTGTCACCATAACAAGGGTCGATCTCGAGTCCCCTTCGGCGAGCTGAAACCGTTGCCGATTCCTCGGGCACCGCGCCTCTCCATTGCTATGGACGTGACAGGCCCGTTCCCCCACGATCGCCACGGCCATGACGATATTCTCACGGTCGTTGACCGTTTTAGCAAGTATGCTCGCTTCCTTCCTTGCAAGTATCATGCTGCAGCGCCTGAGCTCGCACGACTCTTGCACACCGGTTGGATTACCAACCAGGGTGTTMTGGAAGACATAGTGAGCGACCGAGATACTCGCTTCATGTCGACCTTTTGGACTTCCCTCATGGCTGAGTCCGGTACGACTATGAAGCCGAGCTCGGCCCGGCACCCGCAGACGGATGGCCAGACGGAGCGAGCGCACCGGACCGCTCAGATGATGTCGCGTACGCTCATCCGTCCCGACCAGAAAGATTGGGTTGACCGACTTCCCGACATCGAGTTCGCCTATAACACTTCGGTGCACCTGGCGATTTGCGTCACACCATTCGAGCTACATCATGGTGGAGAGAAAACACGGATCTTCGCTGATCTCCTTTTGCCACAGGCTGCCGACATAGACGTCCCTTGCTCTCCCGCTTCCGTTCGGAAGTACCGGGACTTGCTGATCAAAGCCCGCGCAAATATGCAAAAGGCTCAGATCCGCATGCAGCTGCAAGCTAACCGACGTCGACTTCCATGTCCTTTCCGCGAGGGAGACCTTGTTTGAGTCCTCTCCGAGGAATTTGCGCTCGAGCAGGACTTTTCGCGCAAACTCCTTGCGAAATGGTTCGGACCATGGGAAGTCACTTCTGCCGTTGGAGACGACCTCGCAGGTCCTTCCTTCGTGATCAACATTCCACCGCACCTTACAGTGCATCGGGTCTTCCACGCGTCGAAGCTGGCCATCTACACGCCACCTTTAGCTGACGACTTTCCCGGACGTCGATCACAGGATCCGCCTTYTATGGACGGACATCAGGAAGTTGACCGAGTCATCAAGCACCTCAAGTATGGCAACAAGCCAATGCAGTACAAAGTCACATTCAAGCAATGTGCGCCTGACGACACTCGGTGGATCTCTAGTGCAGACTTGCAGACTTCTGCACCCCCTTATCTTCACCAACTATGAGAAGACACGACTTGCCAAGGCAGCAGCTCGTCCCACCCGACCCATCCCGGTATCAGACAGACAACTCCACCCTCGCAAGTAGCTCGGTCTTTTAAGAGGGGGAGTGTGTTACATCTTCGACGCCACACGGGTCCTACCGGACCCGACTTAGGGTTAGAGGGACACAGTACGGCCTAAGGGCCCGGCCTTGGGGGTACGACAGGCCGTAAAGGCCTTACCTTGGACCAGACCCGACGGGCAGGCCCAAACGACATTACTGTTTGGGCCTGGCGGCGCTCTTGAGGCTGCCGCCCGCCGGTTGGGGCTGAACCGTCCATCTTGACGGTTCAGGGCACGGCCAGGCCTCGCAGCATTGAGGCCGGCCTCTGCCCCACCGGTACAAAAGTACCGGTCCAGCCTCATTGAGGCTATCGACCCACCGGCACTCTAACGGTGCGGTATGGTACGGCGCGAATCAGCGCTGGCGCTAAGTTTAGCGCCGGAGCAGCGAGGAGCAGCGCAGCGCGGAAGCAGCTAGCGGAGCAGCAGCAGCGGCGACTGGGCGTATCGGCGGCCATAGCCGCCTGAGGTATCGGGAGTCGGAGGCTTCTCTCCTCCCTCCCATCGCCAGTCCCCTCTCTCTCTCTCTCCTCCTCGGCTCCCTTCTTCTTCTTCTTCTTCTTCTTCTTCTTCTTCTCTTTGGACTCCTTCTTCTTCTTCGTCTTCTTCTTCTTCTTCTTCTTCTTGTTCAGATTGGAGACTTATACTAGTTGGAC